TTTTGAAAATATTCCAGCGAGTAACTAACACACTCGCCTTCGTAAAGTGCTCCGATAAATTCCCGTAAATCTCTTACCTGGCGTCAAGATTAAAGTTTTGGTCCTTTGTAGCGATCTTCGAAACCCAGGTAGCATTAGAACTGCCAGCTTTTCCTTCCAACTGTAGGTTTGTATATAAAGTAGATTTATACGTTCCTCATCTGTGTTAAGCGTGACCGTCACATACTTCGATGTTCGTTGCATTACTGACCATTGTTTTCCTTGAAGCCGGTTTAATCATGTAGACTCCTCTTGAAAGGTTTGTAGAAGCACTCTTTTGGACAACTCTCAGCACACATACATGTATGAACAGTAAACGGTGATTCGGGAAGCCAAGGAAGGATTGATAAATGCCACGGCCATTTTGTGTTTACAAGAAGTGATTTAGTTCCCAATCTTCCCGTGAGTACAACGGGAAGATTGGGAACTAAATCACTTGCATTATGTTAGTTGCATTTAGTTCACCAGCAGTCTGCTGGTTCAGCAGTTAAGTTCTCCAAAATTGTTTTTCCAGATCTCTGTCAGTCATTGCAAATCAATTGAAATCAGACTTTTCTACCGTAAATTGATTAACGGATAGCCACGAAATTTGTTAAGTGTATTCCACAAACTCAACTGAAATTGACTCATTTTTTACTTAAAATTGTACAGAGAGAGACACAGAATTAAGCGCCATTACAGCGCTGAGCTACAAACAGCTAAACTCTCACAACTTCAAAAATCTCAATTGAATTTACTGACAGTGACTTTCCTTGCCATCTAAGGTGGCTCCCTATAGTTTTACTATCGCATGCACGTTGAGGACGAAAGCTCAAGAAATCTACTTGCGCTCAAAGGAAAACGTCAGTGTTTTTTGACATTTTATGACGACAACATGAGCACAAAAGGCAAAACTGACAGTGAACTTTCTCGCGTTTCCTTCAGTGAATGTTTTTTTAAAATTTGGCTCAGTTGTAACCACATACAATTCCTATAAAATACCTTATTTTTGTTAAAATCTGTCAGAGCTAATCCAATATATTTAGAAGAATAACAAATTACAGGAAAAACCGTCTGAACAACCTTGACTTTCTACCAATTCAAAATGTCATATCATTTCCATGATATGGCAAAGTATGAAAAAGTTTTACCGAAGGAAAGTATAAATATTACGGAGTTTAGGCCAAAATGAGGAATATATCTGCCTGTCATAAGATGAGATGTAGCCATGGTAACGGACTTAATCCAAAAATTGACAACCCAAAAGTAAGCCTTATTTTAACAGTACCCATACTGGTAAATTTCTACAGGGAAAACTTTAAGAGAAATTAACTAAGTTTCCTTTTCTAACATGCACTCTATAGGGAGAGTGTTCGTAAATACTCTAGGGAGCCACCTTAAGGGTGAATAGAGATCTTAAACTTGTGTCGATTAATTGTCTATGAAAGTGTAAAAAAGGTAAAAGATTGACGATTACCGCTAATTCGTTCACAAAAGTAGATCAACACGATGGATTCTACATGATGTGGTGGTCCAGTTGAGAAAATTCTGCCTACTCCAGGAACCAATCAGATTGCAGGATTTGTTGAATTCCGCCCACTCATGAACTGAGAAAAAGATAGTA